GGTGTGAGAGGGCGCGGCGAGGGGAGGAAGAGGAGGAGCCGTGAGGGGAGGAGGAGGAGGAAGGCCCCGAGCGGGGCGTTGCTGTGGCAACGAGCGGCCGCGGCGCGTTGAGGCCTCGGCTCCCTCAGGGGCCGGGCCCGCCAAACAGGGCCCAGGGGGTTGATCTGGCGGTTGTTCCTGTGGCTTTTTTATTTAAAGCCTCATAACCCGGGAAGGCAATAATAATGAAGGGAGTTAATAATTATTTACCAATGTCTGCACGTCCTGCGGTATCGCTGCTTCTCGGTGGCGATTCGTGCTCCCCGCAGGGAGGTCCTGCTGCCTGGAAATTGGCTTTTCCTGCTGGGAAGCCTGAGGAAAACGCTGCCCCAGTTGGTGCTGCTGTGGCTCTTAGGAGAAGCTTGAAATTAAATAGATACAAGGTTTTCGTTCAAAAATATGCTCTTGAATAAATTAATGTGCATCCAGAAATGTCATCTGTTTTCCTTGGCTCAGATATTTTTCTAGAAGGTCACACTGAAACCAGTGCCTAACACCTGAGCAGCTTTTGAAAATCAGTGAATTAAAACTCGAATACTGTTCTAATTCCAAGTTTTTCAGTTCGGAAATGCCACAGGGTCAGTAACCCTGGGAGAGGGGAAGGACAGACACTTAGATGTCATCTCTCCTAAGGTGAACAACTAAGTGGAAGAGCTAAGGGGCCTGGTGTTCAGTAACATGTACCTTCTAACCATGAACTTTCTCTTTTATGCTTGAGGAAGAAGCTGAAAATACTGGAAGCACCTCTCTTTCTGTTGGAGGTAGGTTTTAAGGAGGCATCTGCAGCATTTTGCTCTGCTTTTACAATGCTTTTGCAATCTGTGTCTATAATTGGACTGGAAATTCTAGGCCTCGTGTCCTCTGCGTTTCACTTGGGCTCATGTATTGGAAGAAACCTGGGTTGCTTCAGGTACGTTTCAGTGTTAAACAAATCTACAAGCCTTCTGTTCCTGTAGGCCCTCTGAACTGCAAAGACCCCCTAATTTGTGTAGTACTTCTGCTGTGTTATTGCCATACTGCCTGGTAGCAGCACCAATGCAGATTTCAGATGCTCAGCTGAAAAGACTCCAAGAATTATGTGGCTATAGCCCCATCCTTCCAACGATAGCACAAAACTGTTGTGTTTGGCTTATGTTATGCCATATTGTTCATTCTTTTACTCTCTACTCAGTTAGTCATTTGCATCGTGTTTGGATTATGAAGGACAACTTGGAAAAAAAAAAAACCTTAATTTTATTATCAAATCAGGAAAAGCAATTATAAATCTTTTATTTCTAAATAGTATTTTATGTTTGGAAATTATGCCTGCCTTCTGTACAATGCTTGGAAGTGTATAAATATAAAAGCCCCATTCAGCTGTTTATTTTTTTAATTATAAAATGCATTTAATTACAAATGTAGTTTTAAATCAAAGTTGTTTCTCATTGTTACATGTGCTGGAAATACTAAATTAATTCATGGCAGCTTATTAATCAATAATGTTTACTCATGCAGGTCCCTTGCTGATTTATCTGCAATTCACAGCTCATTAGGAGGTATGTAACTATTCAGCAATGTTAATTAACAGGTATGTTGTCATGGTGCTGTTGATGACCTCTGGATTTGGTAACTCCTGACACAAGGAAGATTTTTGAGATTATTTAAATAAAATTGGAAGTCTTTTCCCATGAGTGTTGCACACATGAGGTCATGTAATGCCTAATAAGAAATTTACCAATCTGTGTTTTGGATTCTCCTTGGATGCCCATAAATGTCATACAGACAGCTAGATCAGTGTCCAGGCATGTTTTCAGGTGCACATTTACACTCAGATACAAGTATCCCAGACTTTCTCATCCTCCAAGGAGTAGGTGGTACCTCCTCAATTGATGCTATCTGCGGGTTTCATCAGTGTATTCCTGCTTTTCCTGTGCTTGTAAATGCAGGAGACAGTATTGGAAAAACCACTGATCCTTGTGGAACTCTGCTGGTGCTGCCCTGACAGACCAGTTCTTACCTTCTCAACAGTTACTCTGCACTAAAATTTTCTGAGAGCTATACATAAAATTATCAGAAGAAAATATTTTGTATCCTAGTCTTAATTCCTGAAGGAGTTCTGCAGAAGCCTTCCTGCATAGAACAGCTGCTTAAGGGGTCACAATATTCATATTTTGTCCTTCTAATAAACTGTAATATTACTATTTTTCATCGGAAGGTGTGGAAAGAACTAGGCCTTGAAAATTAGATGTACAGCAAATATACTTGGTGAACTTTAAAGGAACAGATCTCGGCTAGGTGGAAAGAAATTGTAGTTTATGACAGTCTAAATAGTTGTTTCCTTTTAAGTGTCTGTAAAATAGCAGAATACCCTGAATATTCAAACGCTTTATTGGTTGTCTTAATTCTACACAGTGTTCCTTGAGCATGGGAGACTTT